CAATGATTTTACATAAAAATGCCCTGTAATCTTGATTCTGAGTATCAAAACAGTTGAAATTCCTACAGAGAATCTCTTAACTCTACATAGGTTACATTGGTTGCTATGTGCTCAGAATCGTTACCATGGGAAAATCAAGTGAAAAATAAAATTTTATAAGATGCTAATTACATTGTAAAATTTGCCTAATCACAATTTTACAGCATGCTTTGAAGAATCCTTAACAACAGGTACATGAACATGCTAAAATTATTATTCTATGATGTGTTGCTAAGGGGAAATCGCTGTTACCATGGAGATTACAAATTGTAAAACATTCCACAGCTTGCAGAGAGGTCTCAAAAATTTTAATTTATTGTAAAATTTGTTTTGATTAATCAAAGATAACAAGGTATGTGATTTATGACTTTAGCATTTTACATTTTTTCTGTTTTCATTCCTCAAAACATCCATTTTTGTTGCTAGGCAACGATAGGAATGTTTAAAAATTATACGCTTCTGAATTCAAATTCAAAATCCTCTGCTTTAATGTTATATACACAGGATGTCTGTATGAGGTCCATCACTGGAGTTATTAGGCATTGAATAATTCCAAAATCAAGGAAAATGCTGAGTCAGCAAAAAAGGAAAAACATGCATATATTCCCACATCTATCACAGATATATCTTTAAATCTTATTTCTATATTTTTGATTGTGAAAACTGTTAAGATCATTATCTTGAGAATAACAGCTATGAAAAAGAAATTCTTTTAGTATTTACATTTAATTTGAGCCTGAAAGATAAGAGATTTTTTAGTCCATCAAAGCTGAAAATCGGCTGGTTGCTAGGGAAAATTCTTTACCCATGTTTCCATGGTAACCGTGAATCAAACCATTTTTCCTTTTGCATACATGGTTCATAGGGCAAAAGAAAACTATTTGTGGAAAATCATCGAATTCTGAGAACCCTCATATATCACCTACATGCCTATTTTGCATGATTTTTACAAAGAACTGTACTTAATTAAAAATATTTTTAAAAATTCTTTATAATAACACTTTGGCAGTTGCCATGGAAACAGATGTTTGAAATTGCGGGGGACATATTTATTTGTTCATTATCATTTCAATTCTTGATACTCACTGTGAAAAAAATGCGCTGAGTGTCATAAAAATGGATATGATGTCATAATTACGATTGCTTGAACTCTTATAAACCTTTGTGTGAAAAATTGATCCATTTTACTGGATATTTAGTTTTTCTATTTATGATTTGTTGATCATCATGACATCATTAGACAACGTCGAAATTCGGTCAGTTAATAAGTTTTGTGGAAATCTCGTGAACTCTCTGACTAAATATACTAATGATTCAAGCAGAACAAAAGTACAGTAACCAACAGGTTTTCAAGTGAAATTTAAGGAAAATAGAACTTCCGATGTTGATTAAAGGTCTAGCCGCCTATTGGAAGATCGTTCTTTCTTCGTAGACAAATTGAGAGCGTTAATGGACGTGGAACACAGATGCACTGTGCTTGACATTGCTACTGAAATCTGAACATCATATAGAACGATAGAGCGTGTTTTAAAAAAGAATTATTGTAATAAGAAGAAAGTGGGTGCGAGATTGGCACCCAGGTAAAATGGAGAAAATAATGCAGTGTTTAGTAGAATTTCTAATTCGATTTGAACGTGAGAGTGAGATGCTTGTAGAACGTGACGTGATAGACCTAACTTGACGTTACGTCAAAGTCTCCCCCGGATTTTACAGCTGTCCGTATTAGGAAAGCTCCTGTGACCTTAATGGTAATTGGAATATGGTGAAATTTTCCAATGCTGTTGCATAATGGCTGTGTTTTATAGATACGTCGTCTGTTTGCTTTTAACACGTCACAGTAAAATTTTAGAAAGAAATTCCACAAACTTTTGGATCAACCCTCCTATTGTTGTACAGTTCTCCTGAAGTTTTTCCTTCACTGCTGTTAATATTGTAGTGAAGAAAGTGGCTTCGTAGCGCATTATTTTACTGGAACCCGCTATGTTACTGTTTATAAGGATTGATGAAGTTAAGAAATCCAGTATAGGTTTGGTAATTTAAGTTCAGGTTTTTTTTTTTGGGGGGGGGGGGATAAACTGAGATTTTGAAGAATTTCCTACTTAAGAAGGGAATGAAGATTTTAAGTTGGGTGAACAAATTCCTCTTCACTGCAATTGTAATAATTTAATACATATGTAATTTGTAATAATGTGCTTTACGAACAAAGGATTTGCTGTTAATGTTCTATCAGCTGGGACCAGTACATATTGATCTTGAAATCTATCTAATTCTTTTCTCACTTCTGAATTATTAAAAAAACAGAAGGATACATGGTTTTCACATTGCCCCTCAACCCATTTAACATACATCTTATACTTTAAATCCATTCTGACAAAGTGTTAAGGTGTTTCCTTTCATCCTTGACAGAATTCATAACATTTATGAAATTCTTCGCCATTTGAAAAACGGGGTTTCCTAAATTTCGGTCCTTTCAAAATATGGGATTAAAGGTCCTCATTCTTAACTTTATTCATGTCACCAGTAGGACGCCAGCAGGTCTATATAGTAGGCTGAAGAAAAAAACATGAACACGTGGGAGGATTATGTTACTGCTGTTCTAAATCTAGGCACCGTACATTTTTTTTTATAGTTAATAGGTTTGGAAGAAATAGTCGACGAAAACATGTATTTGTAAGAAATACAAGGCAAGGCATGCAAGGTGTGGACTTCAACTTGAAATATGGTGGAATACAAGATTGGACCTTTTTGATTAGATTAAGAATATTACTAATTTTACTACGTCAACTCTTTTGTTGGCAAATTGAAGAAACAGACGGATTTTTTAAGTAGTTTTGTTTTAAGTAAGACGGGGCGGCCGCAAAAGGCTATGATTGGCAACATCCATAATCACAGATTCCAGTCTGCATTCTGTCTGTGATTTGTCTCCTAACTCATTCGGTACACAGGAACATGTTCTAAATACAATCATTTATTAAAATCAAGTCAACCTACTGACAAATAACTTTAGATGGTTTTCAATTATTTCGTTAAATGTCAGCATTTCGCAAATTCCATATGCATGGTCTTTATAATGATCTTGTTTGCAAATAAAACCTACAATTGGGATGTAGTTAACTGACACGTTTCATACCAGTTGTTATAAGCCAATGTTGCTAAACTAATTCTGACATACGGATTACTCCGTTTACCTGATTATTCCGTTCGACAGGGGATGCTTACTCCTCCTAGTCACCTGATCCCACCTCTGGTGTTTCCCTGGATCCGTGTTCGTGCCCCGTTTACGATTCGTATTTTATACAGGATTTAAGAGGTTGATCACAGTTTGCTATCTTCATCTTTTTTTTTATTTTGTAGGCAATATAGTGGCATGTAAATATTCTTAGCTTCTAAATGCAGAGGGTTTGAATACAATAACTATAAAATTCTTACTGGTGACAAGAATATCTAAAACCAATTCATCGCGTATGAAACCATTAAGTAAGCTACGCTTTCAATGGTTTTTACGATGAAAAGTTCGTTCTTCACAATAAAGGGTCCACTTTGCTAGGAGACTAATTCCATCAATCGACATTTATATGGGAAGTTTGGCTGTGTTTATGTGCTACATTTTATACTTTGACGTTTAGATATCCTTTTATGAGTTTTACTCGAGTTTCCTTCATAGAATAATTCAAATCCAATCCTGAGAACAAAGCGTTATTTTGTTTTCGATCCATAAGTATGAAATTCTTGTTGAAAATCCATATAAACAAAATTAAAAATTATTTTAAGAAGGGGGGGGGGGCTTTAAGCGTATTTATTGATTCATATATTTTTATGATGAAATATGAAGATAACGAACAGAAATCAAGCTCAATAGTCCATTGAAAAAATACTAATTGTAAGCGCAACAAACATGGGTCTCTAAAACATCAGAAGTGGAATCAGGTGCCATGGAGGAGTAAAATCTCTATTCAAGAATTTTCATTTTAAGTTAAATTTCAATCTTCATGTAATATTTTGGATAAAGGTCACTAGAGGAGCATTTCAGAAAATTAGAAAAAAAAAAACTACAGCAATCTTCGTTATCGTTAGGTTAAAATTCTCTGAATTGTAAACTTTTAATGTAACTAATGTACAGATTACATCTAAATCGCTTGGTTTTACAAAGTGGTTTAACTTTGCCACTGTACAACATTTCAAAGGGTTGTTTAAAGTTTACATAAAAAAAAATATTATTTACTTCATACTCATATTTTATTGATTTGTTGAAAACATTTTATGACATTTTTCTATCACAAAGTTTTAAATGAGTTTTTAATAAAACAACCTTTAGTATAAAGCTTCTCTTTATTCAACAGGTCATATTCTGTACATGAATGAGATGAATAAGAGCCGATTCTAAAACTCCTATGAAATTGTACAGTGTATAAAAAGGAAATTGTTGTCAAATACATTTCATGTAAGCTTTGATTGCTATAGATTTGAATAAGGATCAAACAAAAGACAAGTCTCTTTGGAACCCTTGACAGACTTTTGAAAATCAAATGGAAAATCTATATTTGGAGATTGTTAATCAAGAGTGTTTTTGATAATATTGAGATCAATTTTTCTTTCAGTTTTCAGTTTTATCTGCGTTTTAAGTCCCCGTCTTTGTCTGTGCAGTAGCCTATAGTGAAATTATTTCCCATTATTGATCTTTTACGTTTCATTTCCTCGTAGAGTTAATTGTGTGTTCTTATGTGTCACGCAAGATGGATTTCTATTTGAACTGAGAGAGAGAGAGAGAGAGAGAGAGAGAGAGAGAGAGAGAGAGATGTGGAAAATAAAAAAAAAAGACTCAGAACATGATGTTAAAAATGTTTCGTCGTTCAGAATTGTTTCTTTTCTATTTTGATTTTTTTTTTGGGGGGGGGGGGAACATTTGATCACTGATGATATAAATTACTACCATAAAATCAAAGCTTTGCTTTTCCTTTCAGATTATGACGATGATTATTATAATGAACACAGAGCACTAGATCTATTCAAAACAATGCAAAGGTAAGAAATAGTAAACTCAGTTACATTCAGTTACGTTATGCCTGCATAATGAGAATATCTGGAATAAAGCAGTTGTTAAAGAGCTTTGTATGAAAATATGAAGGTCATTGTATTTTGACTTTTCAAAAAAAAAAAAAAATTATTTCAGGTCATCTTTATCTTAATTTCAGAAAACTGATGCAGAGTCTGAAGAAATAAAGCGTAAAAATTTATTTCTTCCACCTCATTCATGCCATATTTATTATCCCCTCGCAAGCCTATCAGCCTAGGAGTAATTATTGAAAATTTATAAGTGAAGCTTAAGAACTTGAGAGTAATTATTTAATTAGGGTATATTTTTTTTCATTGTATCAGGTCTAACCATTCTAGTTTTTTAGGGTCATGAAGGTTGAAAAATTACTGTTGCCTTATTGCTATTGTGTTATTGTGGCCCTTTACAAAACGTCTTCTCTTGTATAAAACTTCAGAATACACATTCGCGTTATACTACAGATATCTTATTTGACGTCACTGTTTTGTCTTCAAGTACTGATCATAGGTACATGTAAATTTTCAGAAAAGCACATTTTTATATGAAGAAAAAATAAAACTCTCAAAAATTTCATCACATATTGCTTTAGCATGAGTAATTAAAATGAAGTGATGTGTTGCAGTAAAAATTTATCATAATAATTATCTAACAACATAGTAATTTTTCATGTTTTCTCTCAATATAAATGTGTTATAACGATATGTATCGATAATATTCCATTAGCGTTTGGACATAAATGTCAAAGAAATGGATACGCTCTTTCTGTCTTAAATCTTCTTTTTGATTATAGCTGTAGATAAGGAAAAACACTATACTCTGCGTTTCACAATGTGATGTGTTTTATTTAGTCTTATGGAGCAAGAGAGTATTATTGTCCATCCATCCAAAGTATCAATGCATGCATTTTTTGGAGAGTTTTCTTCATATTTAAATGTAAAAATAATCCATCTACTGCATTATTGTAGTATTTTGGCACTATTGCACTGATCAATCAACCAGTCGTTCAAATAATCAATTAAACAAGTAAAGATGTACTATAAATCAATCATCTACATAAATTAAATAATTAGGAATGTAAGTAAGTCTTCTAATGGTCATTTCAAATATGAACACATTGAAAAGACTGACGCAGTTGCAATATATTAAACATTGTGTTTCTTCCTGTCTATCTGCCTGTCAGTCCATTTGTATCTCGATACTTTCATTAGGTGTTGCAATAATTTGAGTACTTCTTTAGGACAGATACTACAAACTTTCTTGAAAAATCATGAAAATAGCAACTAAATGTAATGTTAGTAAAAGTAAAATGAATAATTTTAACCATACTGAGTTTCATTTTTAATTCAGTTTCTCTATAAAATGATAAAAAAAAGATTGTAAAGGTTTATAAGGGTGATGACAAAGAGGAGGAAATTTAAACAGCAGAGAAAGATTACAATATCAATGTCCCCGTCCCTCTGGGTCTTGAGGGGTGGGTTAAAACAATGCAGAATAGTGCTATTTTTTAAAATTCTTCTTTATTCCTGGACAACAAGCAGTCAAACTGTTGGAATGATTGAGATAAGTTTTGAATCCTCTACCAAAATTATTAAATTCATGGCTGGCACCAGGGTCAGGCGTTCTGGTGTTGTGGTGGTTTTCTAATGATCATATGGTGAAAAGTATAAATATTTTAATAAGCCTTATCTCTACCCCGTTTATTCAGCAGATAAACTAGTGTATGATTGTAATGAGCAAGGGTGCATTTTTCAAAATTGTGAAATTTGTGGCCCCCTTGAGCAGGGACTCAGGGAGGGGGGCACTGTTGATTACATAGTGAAAATGCATTATTCTTTGAAAATACTCTTCTCTGCTCCCGTACATGTATACTATGCAAACAAAGTAAATGCATAGTTATGATGAATAAGGGTGCCTCTTCGAAAATTATGAATTTCATGGCCCTTGGTTAGGGGTTCTGGTGTTAGGGAGGGGCTTTATTGATTATACATTGTATAGTAAAAAGGCATTAATTCTTTGAAAATTGAAAAAGTCTTCTCTGCTCCTTGATATTTAGCAGATAAACCAAGTTCATGGTTTTGATGAGCTAGTGTGCTCCTTCTATAATTGTGAATTTCATTGCCACTGCGTCGGGGTTCTAGTGTCAGGATGTTGTTGTGTTGAATCTATAGTGAAAATTCATAATTTCTCTAAAAATGTGTCACTAAGAGAGAGAGAGAGAGAGAGAGAGAGAGAGAGAGAGAGATGGGTTTACTAATACGCCCAAGCACTGTTATTTTGTTTAGTCTATGTTGATGGCGACAAAAGGGGGAGGGGGTTAAGTACAGACAAGTCAATAGATCTACTGTACTTTAACATTTGTCACTGAGCTAATTATTTAGCTAAACTAATTATTTTGTTGATCCATGATTGTCTGATTTCTCTAGTTTTTGGGCAACATATCTTCATCTATCAGATTTTATGCTTTATTTTATACTTCTGTGGAACATTTATAGTGTTGTGTTACACTCATGTGACCTATTGCTACGTCACTATACAGTATTTGACGTCAAAACTATAATGCAAACTGTTCTATTTTAAAAATGACAATTGAATAGCATAATTTGCGGCAACTCATCGTAAAAATGATGTAAATATAAGATATGAATTTAATTTTTGAAAATTCATGAGGTACATGAACTACAATGCAGTATATTTATCAAGAGCGCTATCGCTTCATATATATATATTTAAAAATTAAATTTGTTTTTAAAAATATTCTGTTTATCTAGAGTGTACAATTGACATACACACAAGAAAAAAAAAACAAAGCATTTATTGTTTTAAATATTTCATCGCTTTATATCGACAACATCTTCCAAGAACTGTACTATATTGACTTTTTCCGAATCTCTCATTACTCAAAACTTGACGTCACTTGTATGCATTCATCATTAAAGGCCCTTGTCGTTGAATATAAATTGAGCACCGGAAAATGAAGTCTGCCTGGAAGCCCAATAAATTTCTAGTTGCTGGTTAATCTGTCGTATTAGTGTCACAGTTATTATATATGGAGGTAGCAAGTGCTCGTTTCAGAAAAAAAGAAAACATCCCTCGTAAAATTGTTCATTTTAAAAAAGGGTATATGAAAAACTGGATATGTCAAGTTCAGTGACCCTTATTGTATCCTGAGAAAAACGTCCCTTGATTAAATCTTTTCTAGTAAACGTCCTATTGAGGACAAATACGATAATTATGGTTATTCACTGTACGAAATTACCGGTAGTACAATTGTATTTTGAGGCAAACAATTTCATTCTTTTAAAAAAGCAAACAAGAGAAAGACGTTATGAAGAGTTCATTATCAAGTGAAAAATTGCAATTAGTCACGTTTCATAGTGCCTATCTAATTGCTTGTGTATACTTATGGGTTTGTATCGTGCGATTGTTTCCAACAATAAAAAAGACATTGTTCAAGGTACTTGTATTAAGAATTTTGAATAAATTCAATAAATTGTTTTTTTTTCTAGAACAATTGTACATCTATTAATCTAGAATGAAATCAAAATGCTTTTTTCATGCACTATTTGCATGAGCTATTCAGTACAACAAAGCAAGTTGCTAAAAATTAATACTTGAAATTTTCTATCTATGGTTGTTGAAAAAGAGTTTTCATGGCCCTTAAAACCTGATACTTTTGATTATCAAATTCAAAGAATATAAAATGTTCTCATCCAAATTAAACATCAACCCTCAAGTTGTTCATCATTTACAATGTTTATGCAGAGAAATTGATTTGACCAAGCCATTATCATTCATTCCTATTACATTATTCATTTCCACTTGCATGAGAGTGAGGAATATTGCCTATCAAACATCCGGATGACAATACGATGCAGACAATATCAAACGGATACTTTTTAAAGGGGGATGACCGCCTTACAGATATTTCTTGAAAAGCAAAAAAAAAAAAAAAAAAAAAAAAAAAAAAAAAAAAAAAAAATACAAAAAGGTCATGAGTTGTTACTATTAAGGAGGTACAACAATATCACAATAAAATAAGCCATGTTTTCTATTGCATAGTATAAACTAGTAAAATTATTGAGGGGGCACAAACAAGTCCAGTGCATATAACATCCTTATTATCATTTTTCTAGAAACATTCATGTACCCTTCTGGAAAAATATATATAATGGTATTATAAAATAATTATTATTAATGAATATTTATTCTTGACTGAGATCATTACATTTTGTTTATTGTGTAGGCGAAATTATTACCAACTGCGACAACCCACGTGCAATGGATGGAATAACCACTGTTTACCTTGGTCATCCCAGGTCCAGCATAGTTGCTGTAGCGGACTTTCTTGCAAGTGTAATCTGTGGGGACAGAACTGCAGGTGCACGACGAAGCTGTGGGGTCGATGACCGACTAAGCCTTGGCACATAATCATGTTAGACAAATATGCTTATGATATTACGGTTTAAATGGATTTCGTTTCAGAATTCTTCATGCTCAAGAATAAATATTATAACCAATACGTTCATTATTTTTGTCATCATTATTTGAAGTTTAGAACGTTAAACATTTCCTGATGATATAATTGAAACCGGTAGAGTTTTAATCGGCGTTCTGTTATATTTTATTATTTGAATACTTGTGTGGATTTGCAAATACGGACCTCTAAAACATCAGAGATGGGATCAGGTGCCATGGAAGAGTGAGCATCCCCTGCCGACCAGTCACACCCGCCGTCTGCTCCTTGTCATTATCGGGAAATAACAGAAAAATCCGTAGACAATTCATTGCTTAGATAATGGCCTAACAATTAGTATGAAAAACGTCAGTCAGCATTTGACTTAATGATATATTGTATATGCTGACAAAGTCATTGTATCGACCATAAAACTAGCAAAATGATGACTTTAAACGAGACTCTTGATATTCTTGTTTCCTCAACTTGTTTTTAAATAACTTACCTCGTTTTAGAAATTGTTCGTACGTAGAGCATGCTCTTGCATATCGAAGCAACTGAGAGATATAAACTCCTATGCAGGTGATAATGGTATATTACTACATAAGTTAGGGAAGTTGACGATTGAAAAGTTGAAGTCATCACGTTTATCATAAAGCTTTGTTGTTAGGATACCATTAAACGTCTTTAACGTCTTTTTCTAGTAAAATATTCAAATATGAAACATATGTGCCAGACTCTGTGGTATCTTTTATTTCAAGTTCACTCGGATATATCTTTCGACATATGAATGGAAATAACTATTATTAAGTGATAATCCATCGCCATATATCTATTTAAATGTCAATTTGAAGGCCACAGCAAGTGTTTTCTTCTTCTCGTGTATAAGATTTTGAATAAATCATGCTTCATATGAATACAAAAATAGGTCCGCTATTAAACGGGTGCAATTGGTACCCATAGATATTCCGACAGATTGTTGGAAGATGTGGTCTCCAAAAATCACATATATATTGTCAATCAGAAACTCAAAGCATCTTTTTAATATCAACTTCAGAGTCCTTGCGTGTACAATCAGAATGTTTTTTTAACAAAATGACAAAATGATTTTGCAAATTACCAATGGCAAAGTAAGTATATTTATGAGTACCATTTTTATTGAAAAAGCAGCTGATGTTGATGTCAAAAAACTTGGACTTTAATTTATCTTGAGAAATGGTTGTTTGCTTGTTTGTTTGTGTAGTGTTTAAAGTCCCTCTCGAGAATTTTTCACTCATATGGAGACGCCACCACTTGCCGGTGGAGGGCTGCAAATTTTGACCTATACTCGGCACTGAGGGCCATTGAGCAGTGAGGGATCTTTTTCGTGCCAGCACCTACTGTGACACGGGATCTTGGTTTATCCGAAAGACCGGTCTCCACGTCCAACAGTAGGATTCGAACCCGCTACGTAAGGATCAATTCCTTACTCCTCAACTCTAGAGCGGACGCTCTACCACTACGCCACGCGGACGACGAGAAATGGTTGTATATAGAGTTGAAAAATTTTGATATTATTGATTTTGGTAAAATTTATAGAATTCAACCTTTTCAAAAGTTCCTTTGAATTTTTAAGTATCCACATCTGATTTATACCACTTCTCCAATATTTTATTGCACAGTACTCCAAAAGTTTCTCCTTCTCCTGCTGCTAATATTTTAGTGAGAATAAGGAAAGTGGCTTGGTGGAACATTTACTTGCACCCGCAATGTATCTTTGTTTGTAAGGGTTTTTAAGAACTTTCGGAATCCAGTATAGGTATGGTAATACAAATTCATTTTGGTTGCTGGGAATATTCAGGATATTCAAAACTGACATATAATTTTGAGAATTTCTTCCTTAGAAAGGGAGCAATGTGTATAAGTTGGATTACCACCGCAGCTATGTTAAGGTTTCCCGAAGCTTTAAAATGCGCTCAAAACATAATATGTCATTGCAAGGACGGTTTTGGTTTTAATTTATAAGTATTGAACTTTAGTACTTCCAATTTATATAGAGGGTTTCCTCAGCTATATATCAACATATTTGTTATGATATCACATGACTTTGTTGATCACGTGACGGTCATTTATAATGTTTTGAAGTGTTTCATATAAATCGCTTTGGCGCAGCTGATTAACACAATAATTATTAACATATTGTTATATAAATAAACTCATCGTGTCCTTGTTTACCCGAAATGTGCTAAGGAAAAGTCACAGTATTACTTGGGTATAAAATATTTCGTGAGAAAATCAACTTACCTACAAATTTGAAGGTATTTTCCACACAATATCGTAATCTGTATTAAAACAAAGCCAACACACATATTTCCCAAGCTAGATTCAGTTAGAGAACAACCTCTTCTTACAGATTTTCACAAAAATTCTCAGATTAATCCTCATTAATCACCTGCGCCAGACTCTTTTATACACACAAAATAAATTCTACCCCCAACCACGGGTATAAAACAGAGTACATTTCAAAAGTATATTTTTCATAAGCATTTTGAACATGCTGAATTTCAATCAAGGGTAGATGAGCGGTGTATTTTAAAAATATTCGGACATATAAGACTTAAAAAACCTTTAACGATCCGTTAATTTTGCAATAGCTATCTTTTGAAATAAAGTGTGAAGTTCATGACACTCTCCCCGTCATAACACCTCAAGTTGGCAGTGACTTGACGCCATTTTCCATTATGACGTCATATTTTGGTAGTTCAGTGAAGTGAATGCACAGAGTGCACTGTGATATTCTACGGGAAGCCTTAACCTACCTGCGACTTGTAGAATTAAATCCCAGTTCCTCTAAAATGCAATTAAAACTAGATGCTGTCATAAGACAGTAATACCCGCACTGAGGTGTTTGCCTATAAATGCCCACTCCTTCATATTTGGGTAACCAAGGAAAAAGCCACAATGATATCTAATTTACACAGTATATGTATTTGTCAAATCGAGCATAAAATACACGGGTGAACGTGTAGCCCATGAGCCTCTTATGTAAGTATTTCATATACTAAATTCATTACCAGTCTGAAATTACAGAATTTAATTGTTGATGTAAATTATGTTTTTAAAAAAAGACCGGGGATGTAAATTTTGGCCCATAATTGGAAATTTTTAAATTTATTTTCAAATCAACAAATATTGTTATTTTTAGTGCAAAGCGTTTTTGATGAACTCAAAAAAAAGTTAGATGCCAACTTTCAGAATTGATCAAATTGTGCAAACCTTTTTTTCAGTATTTGGGTAGGCAAAAGCCATCTCCAAAACCAACACCCAATCAATTCTGTCAAAACCATCCCTCCCCACAATATTAATTTGCCTGTTTTTGGAAATAGATAGCACAAAGCTATGTTTAACATCCTTTGTAATTATAAAATAAAATTTTTACATGTACCATGAGTGCACCTTTTTTTAAATTTCTAGACCCGCGCCTCACATTGGACTTGCGTCACCCTAGAACTATTTTTACCATTATCATTATTGGATTGCACATGCTGTACACATCATTATATCAGTAGGAACTAATTCATTGTGTGTTTTAATTGGATTATATTTAATGACGTTGAAAGTACCTATGACAGGCGGTAATTACGGGTTTAAGTATAGAATGGTGAAATGCAAATGGTTAGGTTATAGTTTAAAAAGGGTAAAATATTATCGGATTCCACATGCAAGTTTTACTTTGAACGAAGTCCCTCGTGATCATTCCCATTCCCTGGGTATGAAAACAATCAATAGCTTTAAATAAAATCGGAAATCCCAAAGCCGTCTTTGTATAATGACAGATTAAATGGTATAAGGGGTCATGACACGCCAGAGGTTCTCCTGGCCATCCCCTCTCCCTAAAATGACAACTCAAAATGGTTGAAAACTTTCCCCCTTGACCATGTATGATTTTGTTTCTTGTGTCATTATGTGTCTAATGGTATTAATGTTATGAACCCCTGGAGGTCATCCCCACCCCGTTGAAGAGCTGTTGAACTGGAAATGTTCACAATATGACCTGCATCAAATTCAAAAGTGCATCAATGATTGACATTCCATTCATGATTTTGGGTCAACCCGTCCTCCTAGAATTAGGAATGAAAGACACACTATTAAAGTTTGTGCACATTTTTGTATATTTTCACAATTTTTTTTTTATGTCAAAACAAAGTATTAATTTGCATACATGAACAAACGGGGGGCTTGGAAGGGAGGAAAGGAAAGGAGTTATCTCTGCATGTCTTAATTGTTGAAAACTCCTACAATTTGTGAATATTAACCCCACATCTGACCTGTCATCATTATTTACTCTTGTATATGTTTATTAGTCAATAAATATAGACTTTTGGTCATATTCCAAGTTCTCCCTTGAATCTAGATCTGGAATTATGATATAAATATTTTGAAAATGATTAAGAGTTGAACAGGTGTTGCATCTTAAAATTGATTAAGCTCTGTGGTTGAATTCGCTATACTGGTATAGCTTGATTTTTGTAATCAAAATACCTTGATTAGCTATTCATAATCATACTGTTCTCTAAAATATGCTGTTTTTTCAACATAGATAAAAGTCATACTTGGTGACATGGAATACATTTGCGGCTTTGAACTATTCTGAAAACAATGCATGAAAAATTGTTTTTTAATTATTGTAGCTCTTTCCTAGCACTTGCGATCATAAGTTTTTAGTTTTGCATATAGTTTTGCAATAAACCTGGGGTATTTCTCTCTCTCTCCTTTTCTTTCTCTCTTTCGGACATCTACTTAGGCCAAGAATTAAAATGAAATAACATTAAAAAAAGGTTTTTTCTCAATTATCAACTTTTTAAGATTTTATACTACATGTTATTCATATTGCAAACTAGAATGATATCCCTTCCAGATATTTAAAGAAATAAGTTTACTCACAATTGTGTCTTTTATCTACATCTTATTACAAAAGAACACAGCCAGAAACAGCCAGAAGTCTTTTTTCATGATTTCTAAAAAATGTCATATGGAACTCCTTTTACTCTAGAACATGTAAGTTCTTCATTTAAATCCCTTAGA